GGCCCTAGGCTTGGCCAGATGTGTTTAGGCCACCTGGACATTGACACATGTGAGCTGAGCAGAGGAAAGTGTAAAAAGAGCCCCTGTATTGGTACCACCGGAAGGCCTCCTGCCTGGGCTGGCCTTCCGGAGGATGACAGAGCAGAGATGAGTCAGTCATCCCTGCCAAGACCCAAACGCTTGCGTGAGCTCAGCTGATGCCTCATGAGACAGAGCATGCTGACCCCAGTTGAAATGCCAACCGCAGAAATGCCAGCAAACAAAAGGCTGCCTTTTGAATCTACTAAGTTTGGGAAAGTGTATCATACAGCAAAAGGTAACTGATATAGAGGTGGGTCTCCTCCTTAATACTTTTCTTTCTTACTTTATCTATAGGCTAGACTTTCACATGTATTTCTCTAGATTTTTATTTTTTATGTTTATTTATCTATTTTTTTGAGACAGAGTCTCACTGTGTTGCCCAGGCTGGAGTGCAGTGGCGCAATCAATCTCAGCTCACTACAACCTCCGCCTCCTGTGTTCAAGCAATTCTCATGCCTCAGCCTCCCAAGTAACTGGGATTACAGGCACGTGCCACCATGCCTGGCTAATTTTTGTATTTTTAGTAGAGACAGGGGTTCACCATGTTGGCCAGGCTGGTCTCAAACTCCTGACCTCAGGTAATCCGCCCACCTCAGCCTCCCAAAGTACTGGGATTACAGGCATGAGCCACTGTGCCCGGCCATTTCTCTAGATTTTTAATAATATTTTGTAAGGTTTCAAAAATATCCTGGGATTTTGACTGGCAATAGAGTAAATGTGTATATTCATTTGGGAAGTAAATGAACTCTGGACTCAAGCTCAGTGACACATTTTCACCAGCAATACCACTATCTGTGACTCCAAGAGAACAACTGGAGTCTCTGCATGGCCTCTCCTGGCCCCTGCCTCATGCACCACTTCCCTTGGTTAATTTTAATGAGCCTTTTCATGGTAATAAACCATAACCATGAGTACAATAGCTTCTAGGGAATTCTGTGAGTCCTTCTAGTGAATTTCAAACTTGAGGGTGGTCTTGGGGCTGTTCCTAACTTTGCACTTGTATATTTAGTTTGCTAAAGATTATACCATGAAGGGGTATTGAATTTTACTAGATGCTTCTACACTGAGATTTTCATACTTTTTTTCTCCTTAATTCTGCTACGAATCATGTTGACTTTGCAATGTGAAATCAACTGTACTCCAATTCCTGGAGTACACCCAACTTGGTTGTGATGAGCTACCTTTATCACATTATCACTGGATCTGATTTGCTAATATGTGGTTTGCAATTTTAAACTGTGTTCATGAGAGAGAATAGCCTGTGTTTTCTCTCATCACGTCCCTTTCAAGTTTTAGTATCAAATTTGTTAGCCCTGTAGAACAAATTGGTAAGAAGAGTTCCCTTTTATCACCTGGAAGACTCTGTGTAAGACTGATGCTGCTTCTTCAATTTGAGTCTTTTTTTTTTTTTGAGACGGAGTCTTGCTCTGTCGCCCAGGTTGGAGTGCAGTGGCACCATCTCAGCTCACTGCAAACTCCGCCTCCCAGGTTCACGCCATTCTCCTGCCTCAGCCTCCTGAGTAGCTGGGACTACAGTCGGCCGCCACTGCGCCCGGCTAATTTTTTTTTTGTATTTTTAGTAGACACGGGGTTTCACCGTGGTCTCGATCTCCTGACCTTGTGATCCGCCCACCTTAGCCTCTTAAAGTGCTGGGATTACAGGCGTGAGCCACCGCACCCGGACTTTGAGTCTTTTTTTTAATGGATTCTAGTTCTCCTTGTCATCAATTTTCCTGAATACATTAGTGTTACTGAAAAATATGACTCCAATCCTGGTGTAACCATAGACGACTTCTATGTTTTCTTTTTCTGGTCCTATGTCCTAGCAAGCCTGTTAATATTTTATGACTACAGTTAACGGTAACTTACTGCATATTTTCTAATAGGTAGAGGAGAGGATTTTGAATGTTCCCAACACAAAGAAATGATGTTTGAGGTGACGGATACGCTATCTACCTTGATGGATCATTATACTTTGTATATATATGTCCAAATATCACACCAAATCTCATCTTGAATTGTAGCTCCTATAATTCCCATGTCGTGGGAGGGACCCGGCGGGAGGTAACTGAATCATGGGGCAGATCTTTCCTGTTCTGTTCTCTGGATAGTGAATACGTTTCCTGAGATCTGATGGTTTCATAGAGGGGAGATCCCTGCACACACTTTCTTGCCTGCTGCCATGTGAGACGTCCCTTTGCTTTTCCTAGGTCTTCGGCCATGATTGTGAGTTCATTAAACCTCTTTTTCTTTATAAATTACCCAGCCTCGGGTATGTCTTTATTAGCAGCCTGAGAATAGACTAATATGCTCTGGAAGATATTATCTTACTCCAGACATTATTTTAGATCTTTGCCAATTTGACCTGTGGCAAACGGCACTCCAGCACAGCTTTAATTTCCACTGCTCTCGTCTGCCCAGGCTGGAGTGCAGTGGTGCAGTCATAGGTCACTGCAGCCTCCAACTCCTGGGTTCAAGGGATTCTCTCACCCCAGCCTCCTGAGTAGCTGGGATTACAGGTGGGTGCCACCATGTCCAAACCACTTTTCTTTGGTGATCTAGATTTCATTTGCAGAATATCTGTATATTAAGGAATTTAACCTTTATGTGGGATATAGCCAGGAAAACCTTTTTTCCTCATTAGTCTTTTCACTTTGACATGCATAAACTTTAAAGTCTCAGGTAGTCACCTTTGTCAAGTCCCATTTTCTTTTACCTGGATAATAACCTAATAGGATTTTCTACTTCCAGCTTTCCTGCCGCCTCCTCCAAGTCTTCTACCAACAGTGATTCTTGGTGGTTGTAGTGACTCATGCCTGTAATCCCAGAACTTGGGGAGGCCAAGGTAGTTGGAGCCAGGAGTTGGAGTCCAGCCTGTGTAACAAGGCAATACTCTGTCTCTACAAAATTCCCAAAAAAAAAAAAAAAAAGTTAGCTTGGTGTGGTGGCACACTTCTGTAGTCCCAGCTACGTGGGAAGCTGAGGCGTGAGGATCACTTGAGCACAAGAGTTCGAGGATACAGTGAGCCATCATCACGCCACTGTCCTCCAGCATGGGCGAAATAAACCCGTTTTTGTTTTTGTTTTTGTTTTTTTTAATAAGAACAGTGATTCTTTTCAAGCATAATTCAGATCCCAGTTCCTTCTCTGCTGACCGTGCCAGTAGTCTCCATCCCACTCAGAGAACAGCCCCAAAATCACTCCACCTCTCACATTTAAACTTTCCCACGAGATCACAGGGTTCTTTTTCACTGCACTGAGACTTCTTCCTGCCCCTGCCTCGGGCTTTGTCCTAGCCATTCCTCTCCTGGAATTCTCTTCCACTCTTCCTTTTGGTGCTTTAAGACGCCCCTTATCCTAGAGACCTATGTGAGCAGCGCCCCAACGTCACTCCCAGCTTTTTCCGACAGCATTTCAGCATTAACCACTGACCTTGGCGCATCCGCATCTGCGGATTCAGCTGAGGATTCCCCCACCACCAGCACAGGGGTCTCAGCTGCAGCCACGCCTGCCGGGCCTGCTGCAGGCGTTCAAAGAATATTTCTTAAGTCAATGATTGCAGGCTCTTGTATCCTATTTAAAACCTTTTCCACTAAGAGATTTAAAACACGTGTTTCCCTGCTTTCTACTTTCACGTTACATTTCTTACGTGTAAACCTGGGAAGCCTCTGGAGATAACCGCGGTTTCTGGAGAGGCTGGGATAGACCTCGGAGCCCAGGCCGCCCGGGAACTGCCGTTCCCGGCTCCTCCCCACCCCGGCACGGATCCCTCGGCAGGGAAGTTAACCCAGGCAGAAGCGCGAGAGGATCAGCCCCTACCAGGCTGCCCCGCCACGCCCGCCCGAGGGCACCACGTGGGCCCCCAGCGCAGGCGCATTCAGTTGAGGA